TGAGAAAATACAAGGAATGATTTCTATTCTTTTAAATTTGCTGAGGTTAGACTTGTGACCTATGATGTGATCAGTTTTGGAGGATGATCCATGGGCTGATGAGAAGAATGTGTATTCAGTTTTGTTAAGAGGAAATGTTCTGTAGATGTCTGTTAAATGCAATTGTTGAATGGTTTAGTTTAAGTCTAAAATTTCTTTTCTTAGCTTCTTATTGGAGGATCTATCCAACACTACAAAAGCAGTGTTAAAATCTCTGACTATTATGGTTCTGGAGGAAGTCACATTGCTCATATCTCTTAGAGTCTGTCTTATAAATTAAGGTCCATTCTGGTTGGGTGCATAAATGTTAATAATCGAAATCTCATCATGTTGAGTGTTGCCCTTAACAAACATGTAGTGACCATCCTTATCTTTCCTTACTAAATAGCAACACTTGCTTTTTTCTGATTTCTATTTTCCTGAATTATATATGACCATTCCTTCACCCCGAGTTTATATATGTCTTTCCTTTAAGGTAAGGTGAGATTCTTGAATGCAGCAGATGTCAGGCCTGAGTTTTTTATCCAGTCGGCCAACCTATGTCTCTTTAGAGGACAATGTAAACCATTCACATTAATTAAGAGTATTGATAAGCCTGGTAGTATATTGGGTATTGAGCTTTTCAAAAGTCCAGTGCACATTTTTAATCCTTTTGCCACTGTGGAAGTTGGAATTTGATGAAAAGTTTCTGAGTGAGTTTACTTTGGTGGTGGAGGATAGGTCTGAGAATATCCTGGAGAGCTGGTTCAGTTAAGGCAAATTTCTTCAACATGAGCACATCATCGAAATATTTAAGTTCTCCATCATAAAGGAAACTCAGTTTAGCGGGATACAGGATCCTGGGTTGAAAGTTATTTTGTTTAAGGAGGTGAAAGGTCGATGACCCTCCTCTTCTAGCTTGAAAGGTTTCAGCAGAGAGATTGGCAGTCATTCTAATGTTCCTCTCTTGTAGGTTATGGTTTTCTTACATCTGGCTGCTTGCAGAATTTTCTCTGTTGTATTAAGTTTGGCAAAGCTAATTATAATGTGCCTAAGAGAATTTTCATTTGGCTTGAGTTGTGCTGGTGTTCTGAAACTGTCTGCTATCGGAATTTCAGAATCTATTGGCATGCCTGGGAAATTCTCTTTGATTATTTCCTGAATTAGAGCATCTGTATCCATCAAATCAACCTCATCGCCTTCAAGAATTCCCATAAGGCAAACATTATATCTCTTCAAATTATTCAAGTGCTCTCTGGGAGAATGATCTGTTTTTGCTCTCCACTTTTCTTCCTCTTTGAGTGTTTGGGAGCATTCAAAAACTTTGTCTTCAATGTCAGAGATCCTTTCTTCTGCCTGTTCCATTCTGTTAGTGAGGGATTCTACTGTGTTTCTCAGATCTTTAAGGGGTGCAAGTTCTTGCCTCAATGTGTCAAAATCTTTGGAGATTTTGTCTTTGTGTTCATTGAATTCTTGAGATATCTTTTGAAGTATTCCTTGAAATTCTAATTCCATCTTTACCTCCATTCTGTTGATCTTATTTGCTATCCAAATTCTGAACTCAATTACTGACATCTCAGCCATTTGTTTATGAATGGGATCTTGTGCTATGTCTTCCATATCGTTCCTTAGGGGATTTGGTCTAATCAGAACATTCATGTTGCCATAGTTTTTCTGCCGATTCCACCTCATGATTGTATTTGACCATTTGGCTAGAAGGGCAGGGAAAGTGAAATTGGATTGGAAGCTCCTGGAGTTGTGGTTAACCAGCCCTTTGTCAAGGATCTGGGACTGATGACTGCAGCTTTTCCCCCTAAACCTTTGCACAGGACCCGTACAGTATTACAGTCTGAGGCTGAGGAAACCTGCTTGGTGTGGTGGGGTTAGGTGTCTCTGTCTTGTGTTCACCTGGTCATTGTCCAATCCTAGTGGATCAATGACTCTGGTTTGAAGTCTTAACTGGAGTTTGCTTTTTAGGAGTCGCAGCTTGCCTCAGCAGAGGTGACCTGCAGTTATCACTCTTCTCTCTCAGCTCACCTCCCAGTCTTCAGCTTAATTGGGTACTTTCTGGACATTATCCTTCCTTCTGGACAGGAGCTTCTGTTGAAGGAGGGCTCTAGTCAGCCATCTTACTCCTCCTTGCTAATAAAGAATTTTGTATGTACACAGTTATTATATAATTATAAAAAATAGAATAAATGATAGGCAATTCTTAGTAATAACAACAAAGCCAGCACTATCATTCTCTCAGACATTTGGCTATACTACAAGGCCAAAGTGATCAAAGCAGCATGATACTGGCACAAAATTAGAGACGTTGACATTTGGAATCGAATAGAATACCATGATACGAAACTAACAACTTATAGCCACCTGATATTTTGATAAACCAAACAAGAGCATACACTGGACAAAAGAACATCTATTCAATAAATGGCATTGGAAGAATTGGGTAATCGCCTGTAAAAAAAAATTATGCTGAGCCCACACTTCTCACCATTTATAAAAATTGACTCAAGATGGAGGAAAAATGAAAATCTAAGGCACAAAAGCATAAAAATCTTCAAAGAAAGTATTTAGAAAAGACTTGAAGTTATCTGACTGGGGAAAGATTTTATGAAGAAGACTTCTGTGGCAAATGCGACAAGAACAAAAAATAAACAAATGGGACTTAATTAAATTAAAAGACATCTCTACAGCTAAGGAAACAACAACCAAATAAAAGTGAAAACCTTTAGAATTAGAACGGATATTTGTATTTCATGAAGCACACAAAAACTTGATAACTAACATCTACAGAGAACTCAAATTAATCAACATGACAAGATACAACAATCTCACATATCACCGGGCAAAAGACAAGAATAGAAAATTCTCTGTAGAAGACAGATGAATGGCTAACAAACATATGAAAAAAAATGCTCATTGTCCCCAATCATCAGAGAAATGCAAATCAAAACTACCCTGAGATATCACCAAACCCCAGTGTGATATCTCACTGTCTCAAAGCTGCAGATGCTGGTGTGGATATAGAGAGAAGAGGCCACTTTTATATTGCTGGTGAAACTGTAAACTATTACAACCTTTTTGGAAAGAAGCACGCACAATCCTCAAAGAACTCAAATTAGGCCTCCCATTTGATCCTGCAATCCCATTAGTAGGCATCTAGGTAGGAATAAGAAAACACATCCTTTTATCATAAGGGCATTTACACTAGACAGCTTGTCGCAACTCAATTTACAATTGCCAAAATTGTAAACAGTCTAACTCCCCACCAACTCAGGAATGGATTAAGAAGCTGTAGTATATGTATACCAGGGAATATTATTCAGCCATTAAAAAAGATGGGGACTTTACATCTTGTGATGCAGGTGGAACACATTCTTCTTAGTGAATCATCACAAGAATGGAGAAACAAGAATCCAACATACTCAATTCTATATGAAGGCAGTAGATTAACTAATACAAGGAGTAGGGTAGGAGGATGAGGGAGCTAGGAGAGGGGAGGTGAGGGGGGATGGGGTCACAGTGTATGACACACCTCTTTGGAGTAACACACTATTATAAGAGGGACTTTATGTAACACATGCGATCAGTGTAACCTAATTCTTTGTATCCTCAATGAATCCCAAACAATAGAATATATTTTAAAAAATCAAACATGTACCAGAGTATTACAAAGATAAGCAATTTGAAGTTTAAAATTTTAATATTTAAGAGGGCAGAATTGAGAATTTTATTCAAGACAATGAAATGGATTAAAAACAAAAAAGCACACTGATAATTCTAATGGCCAAAATTCACTAGACACATCTTAGTTATTAATACTTATGTAGCCAATGATGCAGCAAAAATATAATTTTGTAGAGCAAAAATGACAGAAGGAGAATTATGAAAAATCACATTACTATTGAGGCTGGTAAATTTTGGGCCCAAAGGCAAGAACAGATAAAAACTGTGGAATTACATGAGAATAATGATAATGAAAACAGAATATCTACACTACAGCAGGTATCAGAAAATATTTGAGGCATCAAATACCTACACTAGTAAAAATAAAAGTAAATGACTTGAACATTAAATTCAGAAAGACCCGACATCCTCTAAAAGTAGGAAAAAACTAGTTAGAGGTGGAAATAGAAATACATGGATTAGAAAATAAAACTACAGTGAAATTTTACATAGGAGGATCTTCTCCAGATCCTTTCTGGTAAATACAAAAGATGTAAAGTCTCCATTGTTCTTTATGGCTGAAATTAGGGATATATGGCACACCTCCTAGTTGAAGGGTTCAACTACAATTGGCACTTTACCAAACAAATGCAAATAGTGTAACCCGATTTACATATCCTTCTTATATTAACTTGAAATTAAAAAAAAAAAAAAACTACTGTGAAATTCATATATAAAAGTAATTGCAGGTTTACCTGAGTGGATATCAAAAACATGAAAAGTGACTGGATAAGTTAATCAAAAGGGGAGAAAGACAAATGCACAAAATTTAAAATGAGAAGAGTGACGTAGTCTTCAATACAAGGAAAATTTCAAGTCTCCTAAGGGCAAAGTTTGTAGAACTCTTTTCAAATACATTTAAACACAGATGCAATGGATAATTATCTAGTGAAACACTATTAACCCCCATTGGCCCTAGGAGAGGCATAAAGTCTGAGACAATCACATATGGAACTTGGATAAATAATTCTTATATAAAATAGCAACCAGATCGCGGGCAGTTGCGGTGTTTGGAATTTATCAGGAGCGTGCAGAGGGCTCGAGGATGCGGCAAACGGCCGTGCAGGCGGCGGTTAGGTGGATAGGGGGAAGCCTGGCGGCCATTGAGGGGAGTACTCTCCAGCAGCATTGGTGGCCCAAAGTGTCAAGTCGGTCCCGGCATCAGCAAGAGGCAGTGGCCCTGCCCACGGTGCGGGTTCAGGATGGAGCTTGTTTGATCCAGAAGCCGGTTCGAGGTGTGCTCTCTGCCCACAGAAATGAGCCGTCGGACTTCCAAGGCATTACCTACAGGTACCTCAAAGTGTCCACCGTCCCAGAGGGTACCTGGCCAGACTAACACAACTACATCTATCATTGACTTGGCCAATCTTTTTGAGTGTGTAGTCTGCTTTGACTATGTGATACCACCCATCCTTCGTTGTCAGCGTGGTCACATCCTATGCAGCAACTGTCGGCCAAAGCTCACATATTGTCCAACTTGCCAGGGACCATTGGGATCTATTCGCAGCGTCGCTATGGAGAAAGTGGTCAATTTAGTACTTTTCCCTTGTAAATATGCCTCTTCTGGGTGTGGAATAACTCTGCCGCCCACAGAAAAAGCAGACCACGAAGAGCTCTGTGGCTTTAGACCTTACACCTGTCCGTGCCCTGGTGTTTGCTGTAAATGGCAAGGCCCTTTGGATGCTGTCATGCGACATCTGACGCGTAAACATAAGTCAATTGTAGCACTACGGGGAGAGAAAATCGTTTTCCTTGCTACAAATATTAATCTTCCTGGTGCTGTTGACTGGGTGATGATGCAGTCCTGTTTTGGCTTTCAATTCATGCTGTTCTTAGAGAAAAAGGAAAAATACGATGGCCAAGAGCAGTTCTTTGCAATTCTGCAGCTGATAGGAACACCCCAGCAAGCGGAAAATTTTATTTACCGACTTGAACTGAATGGTCTTAGGCGGCGATTGACTTGGGAAGCAACTCCTCGGTCTATTCAGGAGGGAATTGAAACAGCCATTATGAAGAGTGACTGCTTAGTCCTTGACACAACCACTGCACAGCTTTTTGCAGAAAACGGCAATTTAGCCATCAATGTAACCATTGCCAAGTGTTGAAATGGCAATAAGACATTTTCTGGCCAGTGTTCAGAATTATGGCATTCGATTTTACAGAAAATAAGGCACCCCTCTGCCTGCCAACCTGAAACTCTTTTGCTCGATGAAAGGTAGATATAGGCACGTAAATAAAATAAAGGCTGTAAAATACAGGACGCAGTTTCATGTAGTAACACTGATATCTATAGTAACTACCTGATGTAGTAACAAGTCAACAGTAAACCACTGAAAATATGTATATGTATATCCAAGGTGGGCATCTTTTGGTATTAAAAAATGAAGCACTGTAAAATAATTCTGATTTTTGTGCTTGTTGTAGATTGATTGTATTGCTGAAAAGTACTTGGTTTGTGTTTTGCCTGTATATGTGCATGTGAGTGTGTGAGTGCTCATGGGTGAGTGAGTGACCATGTGTGTTAGCATGTGCATGTGTGAGTCTTTTTCTTTTGAACTGACAAGCCATCTTGAGTGGTCCTGGGCCACTGCTTTTCCCCTTTGTTAGTCATTACATAGTGATGTTGTGTGGTTTTGTTGTGTATGTGCTCAGTACTTTTTACTCTAGTTTTTGACTAAATAAATGTGACCTTCTTTCTATAATTCAGGCTTTTCCTCATTTTTTGTTAATATTTTAAAGTTAGCATATTTTGATATGCATCATTGTTTATGGGAAAGACTATACTCTGTTCGATACATATTTTCTCCCCTCCCATTAATCAGTTCATTACAAATATTATAAATTCAGTTATTTGGTGAAATTCCAGAAGGTAAAGGTGATATCAGAAAAATTACCAAAAGCTTTGTAATGCACCTCTGAGATGATCTCTTTTCCAATTTTCTTATTCTTTCTGTTCTACAATTGAGTCCTATCTTCAAACTTAATTTTTATGGGCAGCAACTGTGGCTAAAAGAGTAGGGCGCCAGTCCAATATAATGGAGGTGGTGGGTTCAAACAGGCCCTGACCAAAAAATAAATAAATAAATAAATAAATAAATAAATAAATGATTTTTAAAAGGTTAAGAAATAAATTGATTTCTGAAATGTTAAAAAAACATGCATTTTTCCTCTTTTTTCCAAATACCTTGGACAAAACACATGTTTAAAATTTGTACTTATATGTATTGGTGTTGCAGAAGAAAGCATAGTCATGCACAGTATTAGTAATGAAAAGCAAATCATTTGTTTTTAAAAAAGCATTTGCAAAAAATGTATGGTTTTGGTCTTTTATAATTCTCATTGAAAGGATATCTGGCAAGAAAAAAAGAAAAAAAAAAAAAAAAGGACCAACCTCATATCTTTCCAGAAGAGGATTCTAGATAATGATTAGATGCAAGATAATACCAATATCTTATCTTGGATTAAGTTGTTTCAAGGGCATGGAAAGGATATAAAATGAACAAGCAAGTATAAAACTTATTTTAAAACACAGCTAAAATTGCACTACAAAATGAAAGTACAGATCACATAAAATAATTAGAATGTTCTTAAATAAAATATTAGCAAACCCAAATAAAAACACATAAAAATACATGATGAATTTATGATGGAGCTTATGACTTCAAGTACCTTATTCCATGTATACAAAGTGTTTCAATATTAGAAAGATGATTAATATAATTTTAGTATTCATGGAGCCAAGGCAACTATTATACCACCGGTTCCATATGTCAAAAGATATTTAACAGCCTTAGCATTCCACAGGACAAAAGATCCAGTTTCTTAATCACTTAATTTGGAAGGTTAAAAAAATCCGCAGTTAGATCTTTAGATTAGAAGAGATGAAACATTTAAAGGTAACTTAAAGAGCAATTATATCAGAGAGAGAGTTACCAATTCCAACCACAATCAGACACCAACACAAACACCCCAGAGCAAAAATTTTTTTAAATTATCTATCAGTCCATCTCATGATGCTATAGCAGAACAAGCAGAACATCTGAGACTGAGTAATTTACATATACAGACATTTATTCTCTCACAGTTATGGAAGCCAGGAATTCTTTTTTTTTTT